GAAAATTCACAGTCAAAAACCCGAATTTCTACCCTCAAGAAAACCTGAATTTTAATGCTCGTAATCACGTGGAAGTCACGAGCAAAAAATCCCTAGAAATCGTTGGAAACCACCAAACATTGTCAGAATTTTAAGGCCACTCGTCGCTTGTTATCGAATCAAGTTGTCGTTTATCTTATGAACTCAAAGGCAATTGGTTTTCAAAGGAGGGAATCATTTTCACTGATTTCCAAATGTATTGTTAAATTTTGCTCAAAACGCAAAATTTTACCCATTTTCGCTGATGTCCGCCCTCGACAATGGGCCAGCCAAATCGTCTTGTAGAAATGTTTTTATCGATGGATAACAGAAGCTATTGTTTTAGCGGGGCCACAGAAACTCTGTTCACGGTTGTAATATATTCTTCACTAGCGAACGTTCTGTACATCGTACGTTTAATCGAGGAGGAAGAACGATATCAATTATTCCCGTCGCTGCAAGTTTACTCGCTAATTTAGCAACCATTCGTTCCAGAGGAAGCTCACGGTTACGACCAAGCTTCAAGCAATCGCAAAGTATTTTACTGTCGGTGCAATTATTACCGCAGTAAAGTGACACTTTATCAGCAATATCGTCCTTTGCTAGGCGTTCAAAAGTCCGTTTCTCAAGCGTAGCTCGCTTCTCTACCCGTAAAGAAATCCCGGGATTTGGGCGCGTTTAAGGGGCGGAAATCTCATATCGCGGGGCCGAAGTTTGTCGGAAGTCGAAGTAGGGTGGTTTTCCTAGGTCGGGAGGGTAAATCCGGAGGGATCCCCTCCGGCCTCGGGGATCGACGGGGCCGAAATCTTAATTCACTTCCCGGGGGAGGTCCGATCTCCGGAAGTCAAGGCGGAGTCCAGAAGGAGCGAGGTCGGACCGAGAGGAAAGAGGCACTCGAGACTGAACTTTGAGCTTTCGAATGCGGGGCATAAGCTACCTGCCTTTTGTTTCCCCGAGACAATGCAGGCTTATACGAGGCTATTTACCCCGTCTAGTTGCTCCGACCGCTCGTAGCGGCACTAGGAGCGAAGGAGTAGGCGGCGGCGCCAAGACTGCCTCTTCGGGCTGGATTCAAGATGCGGACGCTTTACGCCGACCTCGGATCCACCGAGATAAACACAAAGGGGGATTTCATTCGACGGCCGCGGATCGAGAATCGTAAAGCGAGTAAATAACCCACGGTGCGCGTCCTTACCGAGATCCCGGAACGGCTTCCGCACGATGTCCTTAACTCGAGCGGAGGGTCCTCGTGGAGGGAATCGCCGATTCCTTAGCGATGCCACGTCACGAATTTACGAGGACGTATTAGGTCGTCCCGAAAGATGTTGTGGATTTGCTGCGTCGTAATTCGCGATTTCACGCTTCCTTCTCGAGTAAACTCGTTTTTCCTTTATGCCCGCGTTTGGTACCAGGCTTCGCTCTGCACTTTCATAACAATAATTGCGTTTTAAATATTAAATTTTATTTCTTTTCCTCCTCCCACTGCCTAGAGGTCTCAGTCGTGGGTCTTTTGAAACCACAATTGCACCGTACATTCATTAGCGGTTCCTAGGCTAAATGCATCGTTGACATTGCGAGCCACTACAGTTGTGTTGCGGTTCATTTTCAACTCGTACAAGAAAATTACCCGAATTTACGTTTTCCCCGCCTTTAATTAAATAGTCTGAATAAAACAGAAATTAATATTTAAGACACAGTTGTCGTTATCAAAGGGTAGGTGCGAAGTGTGCGCGTTAAATGGTATTTACCGGGGAAATAATGCGAAAATGACTTTTAAACGGCAAAAAATAACTTTCTGGACAACCTAATATTAAAGCGCGATATCGTGGACGTTTTACCTGAAACGTTTTTCTACGTCTTTTGTTTCGTCCTGCACTTTTGACCGATGAGGACGTCGACGATTCAAAAATTGATCAATGCGATTCGCGGGTAAAGTGTGAGGCAGGATTATTAACCGCGCCGCCACTTGCGGCGATTTGATTAATTAATCCTCGATCGCGGACAACGCGAGTCGGCTTTGGGAGTGAGAGGCGCACTATTAGCAATAATTAAAGAGCATTTCATTGTCGGAGGTAACACAACGAGGGCGAATTCATTTAGGGAATTAATCTCCCGCTCGAACCTCCCCGGAAACATCCGCTCCTGACTCCACGACTACGTTTGCGAAGAACTTCCGGCCTTTTTTATCAAAGTAACGGAAGAACCCATTTAAGTCCGCGTTTCTGTTCGCCCTATATTCGCAGACGTACCGAGGTAATATCCATCTTCGTCCATCCGGCTCTCTCGGTAATCCTGCCGAGAAGGAAAAAGAACTCGAACGTAATAAAAAAGAGAAAAACGAAAGAAACACCCCGAGTGCTGAAAGTCGTCCCACATTCCTTCCGGGAAACATCTCGCAATCTTCGGAAACGTCTCTAAGACTAAAAAGAGGCGTCTACTAAGATTCCGGGGAGAACCTCCCGTTCTTCTCCCTCCGGAACGCGCCGCCGTTCCTCCAGTTTCTCGCCCGGAGAAATGGCGGGAATTAATTCGATCGACGTCTGACGCGATCGATAGTCTCGGGAAAAAATAAAGGGGTCATCAACCCTCCACGAGCGACCTCTGACCCCGGGACTCGACTGGAATCCTTATTCCAACCGAGTTCCCGAAGGACGAGGAAATCTTCCCGGAGGACCGTTCTCCCTCGACCTTCGATTTCCTCTCTTTTCCACGTCGACCCTTTCCTCTCGCTTATTCCTCCCTCTGTCTCGCACCCGGGAATAGGTGTTTCCTGTAAACGATCCGCACCGAGCTTACCTTCTGCCTCATTTGGGAGGATTAAGGCCAGTCGCGCGTTTAAGCGCGTCGTTTCAAAGCACCGCTCGAACAGACCAAGTACGTAGGTGGTCTTCGAGGTCTGCAATTGGTTATTCCAAATGCGAAGTGACACCGCTTCCATGGTACGCCGAGCACCCGTGCAGGGTCGAACGACCCCAGAAAATGTCCTGTCCCTTCGATGAGCAAAACTCGATTTTTCCCTCAGTTTCTTGGGAGAAATTAAAATCCCCTCGAAGACTCGCGCGATATAACCAAACTCGGGCAAAGGGGGTTTATCGCCTCTTTATACGGGACTCAAATCTTCGTTGAAAGGAGTCTTCACCCGGGGGATATTTCTCCCTCGACCGTCGATATCCTCTCCTGCCCATATCGACCTTTATCCTTTATCCCCGTTCTTTTATTTATCCTATTTCCGTTTATTTATTCGCGTGCCTCTCCTTCCTCCTTCCCGGTCGTATTTCATGCAGTTCCGAGGAATACTCGTCCGTAAAGGGACCAGGGCCGAGGTTGCCTTCCGGCTCGTTCGGAAGGATTAAGGCCAGTCGCGCGTTTAAGCGCGTCGTTTGAAACCTTTGCTTGAACGCCGAAGCACCTATGCGGCTCTTCAAGGGACGCAATTGGTTATTCTCAACACGAAATGACACTGGTTTCATGCAAGGAACGACGCGACATCCACCCGGAAGGAATTACCCGCGGCTGGGTGGATCGATGCCGAGGAATCGTTCACTCGCGGCGGGAAATTCGAAACCGCGTTTATCGAAGGAACATCTAGAATATATTTCCCGCCCTGTATTTTCATTTCCGGGGAGAGAAATGCGAGAGTCGTGGGTGTTACCCCTGGAGATCAGAAAGCGTAGGGCGCGACAGGGGAGGAGCAAAATGTCGGGGGCTTTTAATTGGGGGAAAATTGGCGGAACGACGCGCTATTGTAAACGAGTTTACTCGAGCCCCGGAATCGAGTTTCGTGCCATTTTGTTGTAAACCGAGGCGAACGGAAGAGTGACTCGATTGTCGCTTTGGCCCCGTGACGTGTGCGTGACCGAAGGGAAATGAAATCAAACCTTTCCGCGACGTTGGGTCGACCGATCGGCCCTTTTCATTCGCGTGATCTCGTTCGCTCCGATGATCGTCGTCACCGAGAAACGCCAGTTCCGTCGTTTGAATGGGAATACGGGAAATGGGGATTTTCCTTCAGGGTCGGCTCGCCCTTCGTTGTGCACCTTAGAGTGGCCTCGGACCATTGACAGCGCACGGACGCACGAACTTTTGTAAAACGGGTCGGCTCGACTTCCACCATGAAAACGAGAGCAAACTCGCCGGGTCCACTCGTTCTCGAAGAAATAGGTTGGCCGCAAATATTTGCCAAGGACTTGCTCCAATTGCTAGTCGTCGATAGAAATTGTTGACATTGGATGTAACGTCGCGCGTCTTGACGTTCCTTGAGAGGAGCCACGCGCACCCCTTCGTTGGTTACCCCTACCGTATTCTCGACGATAACGAGCACCGATCGAGTCTAAATCATAGAGCTTACAGAAATCGAGGAGACAATTTTACATTACGTCTATACATTCAAGTATCAAGAGGAGATCATACAAGAATATCTCGCTTTAACCGCATCGTCAGGAAAATCCTGAGCGCGCATTAGAAATCTTGACACACAAGATGTAAGTGATCGTGAGAACGCAAAGACACATGTGAAAATAATTCCTTTTTGACAAGAAATTTATTGATTTTGAACGGATACCCATTTCGAGTATCTTCTTCTGCTCCTTTTTTCCTTGTTTTCTTTGCATTTGTGCAAAATGATGTAGTCATAACAAGATGCTATAGCATTACTCTTGCGGGGTAAGGACTTCTGTCAGGGTTTAGAAGGATAAGAGACCTTACCTGTTTAACCTTCTATGAACATTCTATAAACCTACGAACCTTGTACGAACACCCTGAGACATTTCCTCCGTCTTATAATCTCCATGATTTATATATCCCCCCCGGCTATTCTCGTTGCCGGTTGCACCGTCTTTCGGAAAAGGGTTGCTCTAATTCACCCTGTCGGTAAATTAAAGCGACAACTTGGAGGAACTGGCGAACGCCGCTTGAAAGGGCTTTTAACCTCTTCGAAGCAAGCGATTGTCCACGAGGCGACCGCAATTACGTGGGTGCATTACCTTTGTCGAGTGACCTGGCCAGTAGAATCGTCGGCAGGATGAGAAAGACCATGTACCAGGAGAGCCGGTCCCGCATTCTCACCGGATTCTGGGTCCTCCTGCAAAAGCAAATATGACCAGAGGGTTACGTTTCCTGGAAACCCCAGTTTTGCGATTCTTCCGCGGTGACGGACCTCTCTAGTGGTACCTATCCTTTTTTTAAAAGTGCAGCCTGGTTTCCAGCATGGCCCTGCTCCGAGAATCTCGAGGAAACGGAGAACGCCAAGTGTTCTCGCGAATAGCTTGGCTGGTTTATCGAGTGCGCAGGAAGGAGAAGGAGGAGGAGGAGGGGGAAGAGAATATATACCTCAAACTCGCGGATAGGGCGAACAGCGTTTTGTTACGGCCCAGAACCTCCCTTCCCCCAGGAAGGCCGGAATTATACATCTTTTATCACGGGGGGAATCTCCCGCTGTGAAATTATTAGGGAATCTGGAGGAGCCCGAGAGGCGCTGCATCTTGATGAGAATTATCTCGTTCTCATGAACGAATGAAATTTGCTCACCGCGTTCGCGACTAAATCGGAGGAGCTTTCTGTAACTGATACTTTCCGGTGTTTTCAACTCGATCCGTCGTTACCTCTTTCGGGCGTTGATGAAAATATAACCTCTTATAAAGAAGGAAGGCGCGGTAGGTGGATTCGTTCCAACGACTTTAGGAGAATTTATAGAATGCTAAAGACCCTTTTTCTCGGTTCTCCTCTTCCCATTGTATATTCTCACCGCGCAGGAATTACCGCAAAGAGAAAACCCCGGCGATGGACAAAAGGACGTAAATTTCTTCCGGGCCATTTCTTATCATCATTAGAGCGGTCGCCGAAGGGAAGATTTAAGGCGGCGCATGCGAGGAGCGCGAGTGCATAATCCGATCCGGCTTTGGTTCCACTTGGAACTGCCTCTAATTATCCTAATTTCAAACTCTGGAGCCCATGGACCGTAGAGACTCCCCGAGATCCGAGACACTCGGAGTCTTCGCTCGGCATAAAATTCACATCGAGGGCCAACGGAGACGACAATTCGATCCCTCGACCAAACCCCAATAAGAGCAAGCCAATCCGTCCGTTTCGCGAAAATGCGCATCTGGACCCTTCGCCGCGAGAACGTCCTCGTGCTACGTGTTCGGAATCGAAATGATACGAATTCGAGCATCCTCCTCCACCCTGGGGTGCATCGCGTATGTAAATTTCGATATTATCAATTTCGAGCGTCGCCGCGGGACACGTTAAGGCTCGATTTGGGATGGGGTTTCCTTCGCCTCGTTATTCGCCAATTTCCAGGAGACTCCCCGAACCCGCCGAATTTCCTCGCATTTATCAACCCCGGCTCCGCCAACCGAAAAATAGTTCTCGTCCTGACGACGGGATGGCGAGAAAGTTGGACGAACTAGGGGACGACGTTTCCCTGGCAGAAAGAAACATTCTTTGCCTCCCCTCTCGGGTCATTCGATTACGCTTCCGCTGCTCCGCCATGCGCCATTTATGTAATTAACTCTACGTGGTTTGCATTAAAAAAAAGGAAAAAAAAACAGGAAAAATTGAGTGCAAACCTCGAAGAATCGACGCGGAGTTAACGGTTAACGAAGGCGGTGGTTCTTTTTCGCCGGCGACGACGCGGAGAGAAACTCGTCGATGAACCTCGAGGTCGCCTTCGGTATTTTCTTGCCCCGGGAAACTCAGGTGCCGGGGGGTGGTGGACGTAAAATATTGCTGATGGCATTAAATCGTTATCGCCTCGCAGAACGAGTGACGAGGAACCTGACACACTTTTCTTTCCGCCTCGGTTCAGCTTCCGGCGTTTCAGCTTTTGTCACCGTGCCAGGACCACCCTTTGCAAAGAACTCCGGGAAGAGCTTCTTTGCGGCCGATCGAGTAAAGGGCGGGCTTCTTATTGGCGTCATTAGATCCTATTTTCGGCGCTCTGGAGGTACGGACAAATGAACCTCCCCGGAGAAGAAACGTCCAACTTTCAGTCCTCGAAAAATTAACTAGTTTCTGGGAAACCAGTTCCTTTAAAAATATCTCTATTTCGGAATTTTCGGACCTCAAAGGTACCCGGCGTTAGAGCAAGCCGAGTAAGCGGCGCAGGGAAATCCGGGCCAATTTCCTCGACCCGCTCCCCCCTGGATTCCGGGCTGGCTTTTTCGTCATTTTGATCAAAGATTTCCATTATAACGAGGGGAAATCCTCGTCCCTGCGCGACGATTGTAGACCGAGGGAAAACTGCTTTGTGATCGACGTTACGAGGGATCGTTATCAATTTCCGATCAACATCCCTTTCTGCCTCTCAAAGCATTCTCCTTGAAGAATCACTGCGCTGATAACGAAAACGAGATGGACTTTATCCAAGGATAAATTCAGGAAATCGGATTTAAAGAGGTCGTGCAGAGATAGTGTCCTTGTACTTCGTAAATTCGATGAATACCTTTCCTTACACTAGTCGATCTAGGGTTTGGAGCAATTACTCTCATTATTTGTTTTACGGTACATCATGAACAATTGTGCGTATCGTCGTAACGGAAAAGGGGAAGAAAACTAACGAGCTCTCTTGCCTTTTTCCGGCGACAACTCGCATTCTTCGCCATTTTTTGGCCCGCCTCGGAGTTTCTCTTTGCAACAAAAGACTGGGGTCGAGTTCCTTTTTAATATAAGCTGAAAGGAACGTTCCAGAGTCGAGATCAGACTTACAAGGAATTGTTATCATTTCCCTCGTAATCTTCTTTTATGGCGAGGAAAGCATTTCTCTCGGCAGACCCCTCGTAAATGGAGGCCTCGGAATTGAAGGCGCGGCATCGCAAGGGTCAGGGATAAAAACTTGTGAAATACGGCGAACTTGCGGAGGGTTATGGTTAATGCAGTTATGGCATAGAGAGTAGATTCCGGAGGCAAGCCAGCGCCGATGCACCGTTCAGGATATTGTCCGGTGTCGGTGGAAAGCATCGAGAGCGCGTTATCGATTCGTGTCCATAATGCGAGGTGTCCATGCGTACGACACATTCCAATGCACACCTGCATGAAATTCCGACCCCATGGCCAGTACCGAGAGATCAAACGATCTCGATCGATGCACTTCAAAGGTGAATTCGAAACCCCAAGGTTAGGAACAAAATAGTCCGATCGAGAGCCCAGGAAGTTCACGCAGGATTCTTAAAGGAATATGAAAGCGGCATCTGAGAGATCTCGATTACGAAGCTTTCCTCAAAATCGAATGTACCGATTCGTCTGAGGTTTCCTTTACATTTGTTTACAAACATTTTTTAATTTCTTGTTTTTACTATAAAAGTGAAGTTTCGCCTTTAACGAGTCCTTCGTATATCCGTGGTAAAATTTCAAACAATTCGTTACACTCAATTCGGAGAAAAGTTCCCTAAACGAATGAGCCCTCCGGATCGCTTTCGTGTCTTCTTAACACCCTAATTATGATATACGACTTTCAGGGTTTAAACTCGAAATATAACAGAGTAGGGGTGTCTCGAAAGAGCAGGGGAGTGTCAGAGTCCTCGCGAGATCGAGCGGTCCGAGATGTGGGCCACCGACGCTCGGCGACTCACGGTTTATAGTTATCACCGCTAATAGAAAGCTTTCCTAATGCGAGTAATCGATAATGGGCGCGGGTAGACACAAAGGGCAAACAGCGGCAATGGTAGTCAAAGAGGTGTACAGTGCCGACGCACTTCCACCGAGTGCATTCTAATCGCATTACCGCACGCCGACCTACGGCAGCGCGTAGGGTGGTTTAGCGCACGGTCAGCTGGTTGCGCAAATTCCGAATTTCTTCTAGCCCGACAAAACATAAAATCGGGTAAAAAGTGGCTCGAGGGAAGGAAGAAAGAGTCGATGATGGGACGGGAGAGCGAACAGCAGCTACAACGAGCTTAACGCGGTTGATCCGCCGTTACTACGTAACGGCCGCTCTAAGCGGTTACGGAGACACCAGGGCTGGTTTTGCGCGAACACGAAGTGCGGTGGAGGGTTTCAGCCTGGCGCTAATGGAGCTCAAAGAGACCGCCGATCCTTGCGAGTCGGCGATGCACGCAATTTCCGGGCCCGCGGGAGATTTCAATATTTAATCCGAGCTTTATCGGCCGTTTTAAAGGCTCGAGAAGTTCGCCGCGATGCATAGAAACGACGCATTAATGGTAAACTGCAAGCGGGGACGGACGACGTCCGATCTCGATCCTGCATCCCGAGGGACGCGGGAGCGTTTCGCCAAACGTTGCCGGCATTTTTCCACGTCCACGGATGCGTTCCTTCGCTAGGAGGAAAACCAAAGAACAGCTCGCGGGCATCCAAAGAAGTAAGTGGCACCCTTATCGGGCTTCAACGGCCCGGCTAATCTGATATCTTGGCCTCTCGGCCGCGGTAAGTGCCAACGGAAACAACGACTTTGATATCGCACCGGTGCAAAGTGGCATGGCCACTAATGGACCGGGGTAAGAGGTTTTTGAAGGGGAGCTTTGCGCTCTAACGACGCTTTATCGCGAAGGAAAAATCGCCGAGGGTGCCGAGGAAACTTTTCATAATTTACGGACTCCTTCCCTTCTCGAAACCCAAAAAGTCTAAAGCAAGGTGGAGGAACGATTTCACGTTTACACCGCCAAAGGGTATCCGTACGAGCGACGACAAATCAGAGCGATTTGTACTCAACCATTTAAATCAGGTTTTTCCATAGTCTCGACGAGTTATCCACGCGACGATTAAATCATTACAGATCGGTTTGCAAGGATTTGTCGTAACGATTTAACGTTACGCGTGGAACTGCCTTAACGAGCTCCAGGATGTAGAGCGCATCTCTTCGCGGTTTTCCTAGGACCTTCCATTGAGGGAAGGACCTTCCAGGATCGATTCGGCGTACGAGATAAACGAGTTGTCACTTAAAATCGGCCGATGGGATCCCGCGGGCTTTTCATATTCGAGATGAGGATTCGATCAGCGGACCCATCGCCAAATCGAATTTCGACTTGGAGCCCTCTCCGGGGGTCGACGTCGCGCGTTTCGCTCGACGTTTTATAATCGAGTGGAGCGCGTCTCGATTTCTGGCGTTTCGGCGCCAGGACCGGTAAA